AGTTTCCAGACCACTCCTCGGGTAAGTACTGGGTGTTTGCGGAAAGTGTTGCAGTGCAAATCAGCATCTACGTTGCGGCGGCACATGTGTGGGCTTAAGGTTTTCCTTGAGTTTCACGACGGCGAAGATGCTCGCAACATTTGCAATCCGGGACGCTTGGTTCTTATCAGCTTTCTTTCTGCTGTGGGTGAAGGGAAGCGGTCGGTGGCTAGTGCGGTGTCGGCGCTCAAATTCACGGCAGCTCTCATGGGTTGGCAAGAGTTTCTCTGCGACCTAGATTGCCAGGTTGTTTCCGCGTGGAAGCAACCTGTAGGCCCAGCAAGAGCCCTGCAAAGAGGCGATGCCGCTGCCATTATTTGCCGTTGCAAACTTGGAGAGGGCGGTCGTGGCAAGTGGCAGCTTTGTGTGCAAGTACATGCAAGCGCACGATTTTATGACCGCGGGGCCTTCCGGCTCCCGAGCGTCCTTCACATACGTGATGGCCCAATTTCGCAGAATCTTGGTCAGCTACGGCGGTATACCTGCCGATGTGGTACACAACTACTCCCTGCACTCACTCAAGGCTACACCATTATCTTGGGCCTTACAGGTTGGAGTGGAGCCCACGATGAGTAGGATCTGGGGGCATCACCGCAGTCGCGAACACGGGGAGGCAATGGTGCGCAAATACAGTAGAGACGATGTTCTGCCAGCGCTCAGGGCGCAGTGGAAAGTGCTGAAGGCTATTTGGGGAGGCTGGGTGCCCTTGACCCCACAGGCCCGAGGTGGCAAGTCCCCCATTGCCGAGTCCGAGCTGGAAGTGAAGCCGCGAAATCACAAGGTGGCGCCCCCCGGCCTGCTTCCGCCGCGTTGCGCCAATGGAAATCGTGACACGGAGCCTGAGTCGTGCTCAGACGGGGAATGTTGTTGCTCCTCTTCATCTTCATCTTCCAGCTCCTCTGACTCGGACTCCGAGTACAGAACGGGTGCGGACAGCAAGATCGGCGATCCGCTTGTGCCGGGTGTTTGGATATTGAACACTCTAAGTGGGTGTTTCCATGCTGCGGCCAGTGTTGATGATGAAGGAGGTTTGGGCAGAGCACGCGCTCCTGGTCGTGCTGCCCCAACCCCGCGCTGGGAAGTTTGGTACGAGGATCCAGCCGTGGCAGAAGATGCATTCTATCCGTGCCAGCATGCGGCCTGTGTTGGAGCCCTCGGTTTGGATTAAGTGTGAGTCACTGCCTGATAGCTTGTGAGAAGATCTCGGGCTAGGTTTTTGTGCGGCTGCCTACGCATTGTGTTCCTAGGTGTTTGTGCATGCACCGCTGCAGTGACTGTGTAGTGAGTGTTTCAGATTGGAGCTCTGTTTGTTCAGAGTTCACGGAGGCTGGGTCCGTGTTTGCCGGGATTTTTTTTGGCTTCGGTGCGCTGGTTCGGACGTGTGCTGTTGTCTTGTTTCAGGGTGCACTGCGTGAGCCTCGTGTGCGATCAACAGTGTGGCATGGCGCTTTGTGTGAAGTTGTGCCAGCAGGGTGTCTGCAGTGTCGGGGCGTGTGACGGTTGAACTTGCTGGAGTGGCAAGAGCAGGGTGCCTGCAGTGTCGGGGCGTGTGACGGTTGAACTTGCTGGAGTGGCAAGAGCAGGGTACCTGCCGACTCACGTGGGTGTCTGTGAGTCTTCGCTGGAGTGGCAGTGGCAAGTGCAAGGTTCCTGCTGGCTCAATCTGTGTGTGACTTTGGGTCTTGCTGGAGTGGCTGTGCAGGGTTCCTGCTGACGAACCGGTGGGACGAAGTGTCCTTGAGTTGCGAGTTCTTTGCGGTTCCTGCTATGGCGTGCGACGACGAGTCCGTGTGGAGCGAGCTGCTCGTCAAGTTGAAGATCCAGGACAGCGTCAAGGAGCAAATGAAAAAGAACGGGTATGAATCCGCGTCCAGCTTCTTCGGGTCCCTCAAAGAAGCGTGTGAGAAGAGCTTCGAAGACATCCTGAAGAAGGCGGGTGTTGAGCCAGGACCGGCCATTTCCGTGCTCGCGTCGCCGAAGCGGGCAAGTTGCGGCGTCTGTTGGCCGAGTGCCGAACACTGTGCGAGAAGGATGCAGGCGGTGCCCCTGCTCTGTCCTCTGCCCTGGTTCCTACGGGAAAACCGGGAAGTCTTTTGGCCTCGACCTGGGCGTGAAGCTGGACGCGGACAAGCTCCGGCACCTGTGGGAGGCGTTCGAGAAGGCGTACCCGAGCGAGCAACTGGAATGCGATGGTAGACCCGCCAAGCAGCTGATCCAGCAAGTGTATGCACAGAAACATGCCAAGGAACTGCGGTTCATACCATGGAAGCAAATAGTCAGCGAAGTGCAGGCGGATGCAGCTCGCCTCGCGCAGGGCACCAAGGAGAAGTCGTTTCTTTCCTTGCTGGCAGAGGCGTCTGGCCAACAGGATGCGCTAGAGTTGGACCCATCGCCGTCGCCATTCGTGGTGCAAAGAATTCTGAAGATGCGAGGGACATGCTGGGCGCTCGTGGACTGGTGCCATCTAGGCTCAGCCAATAAGTTGCTGCAGAAATTTGTGTCTATGTATGCTGCCACCAATCTGAGCGCTTTGGGTCTACGCGCCCCAAGCCTCTGCGAGGCCGAGGCTGCGGATGCTGAGCTGTGCAGGCAACTTAACTTGCTGTTGTCCGCGGGTTATAGCTTGGATAAGGCCATTCACGAGACAGTCTGTGTGCGCAACACCCTGCATTGCCTGCTGCAGCCGCGGCCCTTGGACACCCGGAAAGGCAAGGGCAAAGGCCGTGCTCACCCTTACGGCCGCAACACTAAAGGCAACTCCAAGGGCGACAGCAACAAGGGCGATGGCAAGTCGTCGGGCAAAAAGAAAGGATGCTGTCATGCGTTCCAAGTTCTCAAGTGCAACAGAGGTGAGGCGTGCAAGTTCTTGCACGCTTGCGAAAACTGTGGCAGCACGGAGCGCGGGCGCCAAGACTGCCCTACTCTGGCTTAGGGACAGCTCCTTGCCTCCGGCGTGGCAGTTGGAGGTGAGGGTCCTGTGGGAGACGCCTGCGAGCCGCCTGTGGCCGCTGAGCTGGGTGGCCTGCCAGAGGGCCAGAAAGATGCGTGGTCAGAGTGTGTGGCTTATCACGAAGTCTTGCTAAAGGATGGTGGAGGATTGTCCAGCACTCTGGATTGGCAAATCCCTCCTCCAGCTGCTCTCAAAGATCCACTTGGCTGCGTTCGTCGAGCTATCTTGGAAAGCATGCCATCCAATTCCTGTGCTCGGGTGTGTCAGCTGGTCGGCCGTACTCTGGATGCCCCTTTCTTCACGGAAGAGGAGGTTGTGTTCATGAGAACGCATGTGTGTGCCTGCATAGGAGTGGATGCTGCGTGGGCATCTATGTCCTTCCCGCATACGCCGTACAATTTCCACCTTCTGGAGGCAATGGCTGCGCGGCTACATGATGTCGACCTGAAACTCCCAAGTATCTTGAAACACGGAGCCCCCACGGGGGTCCGCTGTGCAATACCGTACTCGGGTGTGTGGCCGCGAAAGTTTGGTAGCGATTCTTGTGACATGTGCTGCGTTGATGACTTGGAGTTTTGTGAGCAAAATCATCTGTCTGCAGAACTGGACCCGGCCAGGGTGGAGCAGTTGCTGCAGGAAGAAGTAGCTAAGGGCTATGTCGAGAAATTCACAGGCAGCGAAGCAGACTTGCGCCAGCGCTTCAAAGACGGCTGCCTGGCAGTTGGGAAGCTAGGAGTTGTGCGTAAGCCTGGCAAGGACGATCGTCTGATCGGCGATTCCAGCGCGTGCAAAGCCAGTCCCAGTGCCAAATCAGCGAAAAGCTGAAGTACCCTCGATCGGCTATTTCTCTCATGCGCTGGACCGTTTCGCGGAGCGCGAGAAGAACAAGGGTGTCGGGAACCGTTTGCCGTGTCCAGCAGACTGGATCTTGCTATCGATTGACGTCAAAGCCGCGCACAAGTCCATCGCCACAGCACCTGAGGATATCGGGATCGCGGTCTTCCAGCTCCTCGGGGCGTTTTATATTTACTTAGTCAATCATTTCGGTGCTGCCTGGAGCCTGGAGCGCTTATTGGTGGGCTAGACTGGGCGCTCTGCTGGTTCGGATTTGCCATTTCGTTCTCCGTTTCAGGCACTTGGGAGCAATTTACGTTGACGACATGCTCTGGTTATTGTCGCGGCAATCCTTCGCTCCCATGGTGGCGTTGCTGATCGCGCTGCTGCAAATTCTAGGAGTACCCATAAGCTGGAAGAAGTTGCGATTGGGTTATTCTCTTGAGTACTTGGGGTGGCCTCTGTGCCTTGAAAGTGGTCCTGGCTGCTTCCGTGCCAGTATGCTGGAGGATAAAAGGATGCGTATCCTACGAACCATTGCCTGGTGGGTTCGTCATCCGAGAAGCGTGAACCGGCGGGAATCTGCGGCAGTTTTTGGGGCTGCTGGTGTGGGCTACTCAAGTGAACATCTCTCTTCGTGCTTTTCTCGCGCCGTTGTTTTCAGCATTGAACAAGCCGTGCAGTAGGCTTCAGCGACTGTCGCTGGCTCAGCTGGAAGAACTGAGGGCAATCATGGATATGGATTCCTTGGTAGTCTGGCGTGATGCAAAGCTTTCGGATGTGCAGCAGGGATGGAAGTTAGTGTGCGTAGGCAAGCAGGTTACCGTGTCACGAAGCTGTGTGCAGGCGGCGCTACAGCAACCTTGCTTGAAGAATGATGGTGCGTGGGTCAGATTCAACGCTTGGCCGGCGACCACCAACTTGGATATCGGTGGTGTGAACGCGTTACATTTGCTGAAGCAATCTTTCTTGAAGAACGCATTCGACTGGGCTGGTTGGTCGTGTCAGCCTGCGGGGGCAGCAGATGCATGGGCTCTGGGAGTTGTTGCAGGTGTCGGTGGTTGGTTCCGTGGCGCCGGGAATATCACGCACTGGTTCCATATCCCCTTCTCGCAGCA